GTCAGCTTAATATGGAAGGAAAGCCCAAAGTAATGCAGGTCCCAGACGTTTACCACTTCGGTGAAACCCACGTGCACGGGTATGGTGCTGACAAACCTAGAAACAAAATCGGGGCGAACCGGGATTCGAACCAACGAGGTTTCGGCCGTGCCAAAACACATCAAGCTGTTCGAATCCGATCCATATTTCAGCTATTTGTGTTCTCTGGTGTGCAAATTCGACAAATAACTACACGACAATCTGGTTTAACATATCATATTTGTTTTCTTTGGAAGGCCTGCTGTTGGAATAAGTGTATCCCATCTCAATCTCTAGCAAGTTGTAACATGTCAGCATACGCAGTGAACGTCTGTCGAATAGTGGTTAACGCGAACTAACAGTTACTGAAATTACAACACCCCCCACCCCCACCCACCCCACCCTTGGGGATTCTGGTGTAGAAACGTTCCCAGTAGGGTCTGTTACAGAAATCCCCCCCCCCCCCGTTCCCACCCAGTAAGGTCTGTCTGTCGCCGAACTCTAGAATGGAACGGACTAGTCGGTCATACTGACCCTGAAACAAATATCTCCAATACAGCCCACGCAAGTCTAAAATGTTTGGCAAGTCTACATTACTGCAGTATCTGAAAATGATGAAAGTCTCTGAACTTCTTTTTATTATATTTTACAACTATAATTTAACAACTGTTTTTTTCTGTAAAATATGTTCCTTTCAAAGACTAAATGTTAGTCTAGATCGGATGATTAAGCTCATCTTGGCGTATCATTATGGCGTTTCATCATGCTCGATGGTGGGGATCGGCGTTCATGACTTCTGTCGATGGCGTGGCCTGTCCTGACTCGCTTATTCACAGGCCGTCGCGAGATAGGGTAACTATCTGCGGCGTTAAACTAAATAGATTGACGATCCAAATTTGTAACACAAATCATCCAACGCTTAATGCTACAAACATGCACTGAAAAGCTGCATTTAGCTGCATAGCAAAAACATGTCCCCGAAAATATCCTGAACACTAACTATTTTTAAGTTACTATTTGGGATCTATCCCATCACTTTAAACCGATTCCATAGCATCACGGGCGGTCTGCCCACAGGCACAAAACGACACACAGGAATTAGTGAACATAAAATTAAGCTAAAGATAAGTTCAAAGTCTTTCTGCAGCTTATCGCCATTGGCAAGTACCTCTCCATATCTCGTCAGTGCTGTTTCGCCCTCGGAAGTGCATTTGAGCTCATTTACTGCATAACTTTATGTTCCAGACTTGTCTACACCCTTGTTTCTCTGCCCTGTACCTTCCCACACGATGTAACTCAATAACTTTCACCATATCTCGCTGTTTAGCATTGCCCCTGCGAGACTGGGGTGCTATCAGATTTATCCAAATCCTACACGTTCATCTGAAGTTTATGAACGATACTGCGGTATTTACGACTGAGCGCAGTGCACTTCCTCTACGCAAGATAATACTATCGTCATATCAAAATGACGGCGTAAGCAAAACAGACGTAGGGAACCTATTTTAAAGTGAGTTGTGTATATCGTGACGTCCGATCAACGTAATACGAAAGAGAGAGCTGGGATAAATCATCAGCCAATCACAGCAAAATGAAATATGTCTGACATGACCTTGACCTTGCTGTTGGACTCGGGGATACAGCGGAGGAAACACCATGTCAGTACCAGCTGTCGATGTTCAACCAATGACAGGAGTTCTTGGAAACATCGTGATTCTTCACCCAAAAATACCAGCCACCAGTCCAGGTGGCAGCCATCTTGAATTATTTGTAGTAATCCGCCCTGGGCTGTGTGACAAGTCTCGATGTCGGCGGATGAATAAACTATCTTGCGATGTGTAGAATGAAGTGCCTTGCATATATACAGAGAGCACAATGGAGAGGTGAGGGATGGGGATTGTTTTCTTTTTCGTGTGAGCTCCATCTTGTGACCATCTGACCCATTTGCGTTGCGCTTTTTGCTACGATGCCCGGATGTTCCTGATGCATTCGTGACATTAGATGTGCTGTGGGCTTTCAGAGTCTCCATGGTTGACTATCATTATACCAGCGCCCCGCTGTCAACGTGACAGTGTTCCATTGTTAAATATTAACATAAGAGTGGATCCAACATAAGAGTTTCCATTTGCTGTATAGCAACATACACGTGCCCCATTATTGAGAATCAGCACAAGAAGGATTCATTGTTGAATATCAACATAAGAAGGGCTTCAAAATTGATTATCAGTGTAACAGTGACCCTATTGTTGAGTATCACCATAACATGAGCGTATCGTTGAGTATCAAGATAACAGGGGCGTATTGTTGAGTATCAATATGAAGGGGGCGTAAAGTTAAGTATCAAAATGTCAGGGGTGTATTGTGGAGTATCAACATAACAGGGGCGTATAGTTGAGAATCAACATAATAGGGGCGTAAAGTGAAGTATCAAAATATAAGAGGCGTATTGTTGAGTATCAACATAATAGAAGAATCGTGGAGCATCAACATAACAGGGGCGTATTGGGAAGCATCAACATAACAGGGGTGTATTGTTGAGCATCAACATAACAGGGGCGTATCGTTGAGTATCAATATAAAGGGGGCATAAAGTTAGGGAATCAAAAGCTCAGGGGTGTATTGTGGAGTATCAACATAACAGGGGCGTATAGTTGAGAATCAACATAATAGGGGCGTATTGTGGAGTATCAACATAACAGGGGCGTAAAGTGAAGTATCAAAATATAAGAGGCGTATTGTGGAGTATCAACATAACAGGGGCGTATTGTGGAGTATCAACATAACAGAGAAGTATTGTGGAGCATCAACATAACAGGGGAGTATTGGGAAGTATCAACATAACAGGGGCGTATTGGGAAGTATCAACATAACAGGGGCGTATTGTGGAGTATCAACATAACAGGGGCGTATTGTGGAGTATCAACATAACTGGGGAGTATTGGGAAGTATCAACATAACAGGGGCGTATTGTGGAGTATCAACATAACAGGGGCGTATTGGGAAGTATCAACATAACATGGGCGTATTGTGGAGTATCAACATAACAGGGGCGTATTGTGGAGTATCAACATAACAGGGGCGTATTGTGGAGCATCAATATAACTGGGGAGTATTGGGAAGTATCAACATAACAGGGGCGTATTGGGAAGTATCAACATAACATGGGCGTATTGTGGAGTATCAACATAACATGGGCGTATTGTGGAGTATCAACATAACAGGGGCGTATTGTGGAGTATCAACATAACAGAGAAGTATTGTGGAGCATCAACATAACAGGGGAGTATTGGGAAGTATCAACATAACAGGGGCGTATTGGGAAGTATCAACATAACATAGGCGTATTGTGGAGTATCAACATAACATGGGCGTATTGTGGAGTATCAACATAACAGGGGCGTATTGTGGAGTATCAACATAACAGGGGCGTATTGTGGAGTATCAACATAACAGAGAAGTATTGTGGAGCATCAACATAACAGGGGAGTATTGGGAAGTATCAACATAACAGGGGCGTATTGGGAAGTATAAACATAACATGGGCGTATTGTGGAGTATCACCATAACGGCGCCGTATTGTTTAGTATCAACGAAACGGTAATATATTGTTGAATATCTACAAAATAGTGCCCCATGATTGAGTATCAACATAAATAGTGCCCCACGGTTGAGTATCAACAAAGGAAGGCTCCATTGTTCAATATCAACATGACAGTACCCCATTGTTCAGTGCCAACATAATAGAGGCTCCACACATTGTACCTATGTAGGGACTCGAATCCAGGGTTTTCGGCGTTACGAGGCAACGCTTTAACCACTAGGCTACCCCACCGCTCTCGCCCACGGTAGAGAATCGGGACGCAGACACATGGAGTACAACGACTTTTTCTATCTTTGATGTTCACAATGACGCAGATGTCTGAAGTGTTTATAATTGTATTTGTGTCTCCAACATTTCTTCACAAACCCTTTTCTCATTTCAAGTCCATTTATGTTAACAACATTAGATATTAATGAATGATGACGGTTGGAGCCTTTTGTATATAATCTTAAAGATGGTTCGGGAGTGGTAAGGTAGCTTAGTTGTTGAGGCGGCCGTTCCTTGCAGAAAGATCCATGTTCGATCCCCTGCATTATTACACTGCATGAAACCCTATTACTGGAATATTACGGATAACTATAGTCACTCACTGACTCACTCACACACTCACTCACTCACTTAATCACGACCTCACGACCGCCTCCGTGGTCTAGTGGTAGAGCGTCCGCCCGGAGAGCGGAAGGTCCGGGGTTCGAAATACCAAAAGACGTTAAAAGATGGTACTTGTTGTTATCCTGTCTGGCGCTCGGCATTAGGGGCTAAAGCAAGGACTGGTCGGCTCGGAGTCAGTATACTGTGTCTTGGTGGGGTATTCATGTTAAACTGCGGCATGGTATCTCAGTGAGCTAGCACTATAAATCGGCATCAGTCCGGACTAGTACAAGCAGCCACACAAACACACACACGTGCATGCACGTCGCTATATAAGTGCAATAATCTTGGTGGCGACGTTAAACCTAATTTCACCTCACCTCACCTCACGACCTCACTCGACAGATGTAACTAGGATACTGTCTGTACTCTGTCTATAACAGGATACCATTAGGCATTAGAAGCTGGGAGAATATGAAAACATGAAACATTATATGGATTACATCTCTCGATTGTTCTCTTGGTGTTTTGCAAGTTTGCGTGCAAAAATGAAGCAAATGATGTTTACAGTGATTTCCGAGTAAGATAACTTGTTTCCACCGAGAAAATTAAACCAACCACTCCCATATCACAAACCACTTTCACCCCACACTCATACCATGGACCACCCTCAACCCCACCCCTAAGCACAGGCAACTGTCAACCCAACAACTACCACCCCCGCCCCTGGTCCACCGATACCCCCACCCCACGGCACAACAACTGTCACCACGTCCATCATTCCTGTCCGATGGGCCGCCGATACCTCCGACCCACAGCACAACAACTGTCAACCCCACAACTACCACCCCCACCCCACAGCACAACAACTGTCAACCCCACAACTACCACCCCCGCCCCTGGGCCACCGATACCCCCCACCCCACAGCACAGAGAACTGTCACCACGTCCATCATTCCTGTCCGATGGGCCGCCGATACCTCCGACCCACAGCACAAAAACTGTCAACCCCACAACTACCACCCCCACCCCACAGCACAACAACTGTCAACCCCACAACTACCCCCCCTCCCCCCCCCCCCCCCTGGGCCACCGATACCCCCACCCCACAGCACAACAACTGTCAACCCCACAACTACAACCCCCGCCCCTGGGCCACCGATACCCCCACCCCACAGCACAGAGAACTGTCAACCCCACACCTTCCATCCCGATCCCATTGGCCACCGATACCCCCAACCCCGTCCCTCCCACTCCCCATACCAAGGACCCCTCACTCCCACGACCACACTAAACCATGGACCCCACCCCATAGACAACCGGTTCTCCCAACCCCAACAATCCCCACCCCAATGATAAATGCACTCCAGCCCTACTTAGATAAGTGTATCTCTCCAGCTATCACGCAACTCTCTCCAGTTGATAACAAGCAACTTAATCACGCGTTTCATTCATATGCAGTTTATTTATAGCAAGCGAAACCGGTAACAAGTTTGGCACAAGTATGCACTTACTCATATGAAGTCTTGAAGTTAACACTTCAAGAAAAGTCTTTTTGCAAGATAATTCAAGTCCCGTCAAAATCGTCTGAATACTCCTTCTATATTTAACGCAGGATAAATATTTCAAACCCGTGTGATTCGTACAACTAGCACTTCCCTTTCTTTTTCTTCCAATAAAAGTTGTAATTGTCAGCTGTTGTGTCTTTTCTTGCGAACTCCCGTCTTGTAACATTAACCACGCATGACGTCAGGTGCTGGAGGAGGTGGGAGAATGGCTAACCTGTGTTAGTAAACATACAGATAGGGTCTGACGTTTGGTAATGGCTGCCTGTTCGGAGACGGCCCTGCAACAGGTTCACGTGAACGCCGACCCCCCTACGTGGGGAGGGGTCAGGGAGTTACCTCACGGAGGTGACAGGGATGATGACAACTCCACTGCGAAGCAACTTCTGCAACAAATCATACCTGGGCCGTTTCATCTCACTCTCCATTGCACCGCCTCTGCGGGAAAAAAATGTCCGTCTGCTCTTCAAGTCTCGTTCAAAAGATAAGATAACGAATATGACATAATAAATCTCGCGAGAAGAGGAGAGTATAGAAATAAATCACTCCCTTGCGCATTTCGCTGGGTATTCTTTCACGACTGAGAAACTTCAACCTTTTTTTTAAATATGATGTTATATCTGAAATTTGAAAAGAGCTGGCGTTTTTCATTCGTGTGAATTACGACGGAAGACGCACTGTGCGGGTGGGTGCTGCCTGTAGATTTGTCGGCTTTTGACAGCAACCAGCTCCATCAGATTCTTCTTTGGTTCTTTGAAGTCCATCACATGTAACACGTGTTCTGGCTTGGTTGCTATTATCTCGTGTCGACATCATCTCTACAGCATCCCTCTGAAGCTCCAGCTTCGTGTTCTATATACACTATTAGTGGGTAGCCTAGTGGCTAAAGCGTTGGCTCGTCAGGCCGTAGACCCGGGTTCGATTCCCCACGAGGCGTGTAGTCAATTTTTCTGAGGATGTGGCTGAAATATTGCTGAATTCGGTGTACGATCACTCAATGGTCGCTTAATATGGCAGTAGGAGAGCTATCACGTCAATGCCCCACTCACTCACTCAATCAATCACTTGAGAACCGAGAACTGAGGACCCATTATAAACCCAGATCATCTTCCTCCGGGCTCAGTTGTTGGTGCTGGTAACAGACACCCCTATATGTACCCAGATCATCTACCACCAGGTTCAGATGAAGGTGCTGGTAACAGACACCCCTATATGTACCCAGATCATCTACCACCAGGTTCAGATGAAGGTGCTGGTAACAGACACCCCTATATGTACCCAGATCATCTACCACCAGGTTCAGATGAAGGTGCTGGTGACAGGTACCCTATATGTACCAAGATCATCTACCACCAGGTTCAGATGAAGGTGCTGGTGACAGGTACCCTATATGTACCCAGATCATCTACCACCAGGTTCAGATGGAGATGCTGGTGACAGGTACCCTATATGTACCAAGATCATCTACCACCAGGTTCAGATGAAGGTGCTGGTGACAGGTACCCTATATGTACCCAGATCATCTACCACCAGGTTCAGATGGAGATGCTGGTGACAGACACCCTATATGTACCAAGATCATCTACCACCAGGTTCAGATAAAGGTGCTGGTGACAGGTACCCTATATGTACCCAGATCATCTACCACCAGGTTCAGATGAAGGTGCTGGTGCCAGGTACCCTATATGTACCCAGATCATCTACCACCAGGTTCAGATGGAGATGCTGGTGACAGACACCCTATATGTACCAAGATCATCTACCACCAGGTTCAGATGAAGGTGCTGGTGACAGGTACCCTATATGTACCCAGATCATCTACCACCAGGTTCAGATGGAGATGCTGGTGACAGGTACCCTACATGTACCCAGACCATTTACCACCAGGTTCTGATATAGGTGTTGATGACAGGTACCCTATATGTACCAAGATCATCTACCACCAGGTTCAGATGAAGGTGTTGATGACAGGTACCCTATATGTACCCAGATCATCATCTACAACCAGGTTCTGATGAAGGTGTTGATGACAGGTACCCTATATGTACCCAGATCATTTACCACCAGGTTCTGATATAGGTGTTAATGACAGGTACGCTATATGTACCAAGATCATCTACCACCAGGTTCAGATGAAGGTGTTGATGACAAGAACCCTATATGTACCCAGATCATCTACCACCAGGTTCTGATATAGGTGTTGGTGACAGGTACCCCTATATGTACCCAGATCATCTACCACCAGGTTCAGATGAAGGTGTTGATGACAAGAACCCTATATGTACCCAGATCATCTACCACCAGGTTCTGATGTAGGTGCTGGTAACAGACACCCCTATATGTACCCAGATACTCTCCCACCGGGTTCAGATGTAGGTGTTGATTCGGTAACATCAAATGCTGATTCTAATGTTCACATTCGGAATTGTCCAGGCGTCTGACAGACGATGTTGCACCGTGACCATGAACAACTTTTTATTCATTCGGGTTTAAAACTCCAAAACTTCAAACTTAAAAGGAAGAAAATTGGTGCTAGACACGGATTTGGCTCTAACTCCGCACGCCTTGCTCACATTTAAGACACGAATTCATCAAAAGTAAAATATATTACAAACCTGATCCCAGCTTCAACTTTTGAAATAAATAATTCTTATACGCCTCAGATGCAAAACCGGGCCAGTTAATGTAAGCGTTTTGCAGGAAGTTGAAGCATCTACACATGCCGTTCATGACGTTCGCCAGCTCGTCCGAAGACAGTTGGCACCATTGGTATCGGGACGTTAAATGTTACCTCCGGCACATGTCCCATCTTAACCTTTCATATCCCCGCCTCGGCTAATAGAGACGATAGTGCCCCATCAAGGAATCTCAGGGGGAGGGGTGGAGGGAGAAGCGCGTGGCACGTGAGATAGGTAGGGGGAGATAAGATATTCTTGACAGCGGGAGCCGTGCAGCTAGCACTCTGACATTTAATAAAATATCGCTGAGAAAATACATTGAGATGAAGAAAGTAGAGGAGGCAGGGTGTATATGATAACAGATGCCGTTATGAGGAGGGGTGCGAGTCCTGGGATACCGCCGCCATGTTTGTTTAGATTCTCTGTCTCTTCATTTCTACTTATGTTTAGACAGAACCCAGTTTGTCCCACACCTCCGAAGCTTCCCTGCAACACGACGTAAGGGAAAGGGTTTAATTCGCTCTGGCCATATCTTGTTGGACCACAGGCGCTGGGATGCAAACAGAGGGCTAGATTTCATAACTCCTGACAGATAGTTTATACAGAGATGGTCATGTTTACGCGATGCTATGATAAATGGCCACCCTCGCGTCTTCAACATGCATCTTAATACTTCCATTCATCTGGACTCGCAATGATAACACATTACCGAAGCTCTATGAAAATGAAATGACGATTGCAAACGATTTTAACAATATGTATATGGTTTAAATTTTCTTTGATTTTCTCAGACAAGCATGGAAGCATCACTGTCTTAACCCCACCGTCCACCCCTCTCTGGAAGCATCACTGTCTCAACCCCACCATCCACCGCTCTCTGGAAGCATCATTGTCTCAACCCCACCATCCACCTATCTCTGGAAGCATCATTGTCTCAACTCCACCATCCACCTCTCTCTGGAAGCATCATTGCCTAAACCCCACAATCTACCTCTCTCTGGAAGCATCACTGTCTCAACCCCACCATCCACCCCTCTCTGGAAGACTCACTGTCTTAACCCACCATCCACCCCTCTCTGGAAGACTCATTGTCTCAACCCCACCATCCACCTCTCTCTGGAAGTATCAATGTCTCAACCCCACCATCCATCCCTCTCTTGAAGCATCACTGTCTTAACCCACCATCCACCCCTCTCTAGAATCATCATTGTCTCAACCCGACCATCCACCTCTCTCTGGAAGAATCACTGTCTCAACCCCACCCTCCGACCCTCCCTGGAAGCATCACTGTCTTAACCCATCATCCACCCCTCTCTGGAAGTATCACTGTCTTAAACCATCATCCATTTCTCTCTGTGGAAGCATCACTGTCTTAACCCACTATCCACCCCTCTCTGGAAGCATCATTGACTCAACCCCACCATCCACCCCTCTCTGGAAGAATCATTGTCTCAATCCCACCATGCACCCCTCTCTGGAAGCATCATTGCCTAAACCCCACCATCCACCTATCTCTGGAAGCATCATTGTCTCAACCCCACCATCCACCCCTCTCTGGAAGCATCAATGTCTAAACCCCACCATCCACCCCTCTCTGGAAGACTCACGGTCTCAACCCCACCATCCACCTATCTCTGGAAGCATCAATGTCTAAACCCCACCATCCACCCCTCTCTGGAAGCATCATTGTCTCAACCCCACCATGCACCCCTCTCTGGAAGCATAATTGCCTAAACCCCACCATCCACCCCTCTCTCGAAGCATCATTGTCTCAACCCCACCATGCACCCCTCTCTGGAAGCATCATTGTCTCAACCCACCATCCACCCCTCTCTGGAAGCATCAATGTCTAAACCCCACCATCCACCCCTCTCTGGAAGCATCATTGTCTCAACCCCACCATCCACCCCTCTCTGGAAGCATCAATGTCTAAACCCCACCATCTACCCCTCTCTGGAAGCATCAATGTCTAAACCCCACCATCTACCCCTCTCTGGAAGACTCACGGTCTCAACCCCACCATCCACCCCTCTCTGGAAGCATCAATGTCT